TGCTGGGATATCCTGATTCATATAGACAAGAATGCTGCAGATTGTACCAAAAACTTGTAAAACCACAGCAGCCCATTCTTTTCCTTTTCAAGGTCTCTCAGTACGGCTGCAAATAAAGACTCAGCAATCCACTGACTTTGGTGATGAAAGTGATTTCCATTTCCAGTGGGAGATTCTACTCCCTTCTTACATTTAGATAATGGAATGTTTCTCACAGTGTGCCATGAACAATCTCTTCCAAGAATCCAAGCTAAATCTATTTGGGACTGGAAAGCAACACAAGTATAATAAGCTCCCCTTATCTTTTATTCATAGTGGTCACTCCTAATACTTTCCAGGAAACTCTTCAATGAAGTCTTCCCAAAACATTAAAACTCTTACTTCTCCCCTGGTTTGAAAGAGCCCTGGAGATAATGTAGTGACTCTTGTAACTGTAAAAACAGAGGGGAAGGAAACTGTATCAGGCATGCCACGGGCCATGTAACAAACTGGAACACAGTTATGAATGACTAATGCCAAGCCTGGCTTGGCTGGAACAGGAGCCCAAGAAACAGAGCAAGAATCACTGAGAGCATCTGAATTGCTCTTACTCCCATGTCATCAAGGTTTCCTTTGATTTTTAGGATGTTATAAACAGTGTGACCTATGAGAGCTTTCTTTTGGAAAAATTCAACTCAGTGAGAAAACAGAGACTGGAGTCCTATGGTTTATAAAAGTGCAAAATTGTCAATGATCTCATTTGTGAATACCTCATTGTATTAAAAATGCCTTGGTGACAGAGGTTCCAGTGTAGCCTAATGTCATTTATCTTGACCATCCTTTTAAGGATGTAAAAGAGCTAAGAGATGGGCCATACAATTGCTATGTGTACTGCAAATACTGGTTGTGTATATTTCTTTCTTTGAATTGTTTTCTTCTTTACAAGAAGTGTAAATGTGAGCCAACTGATATACTCCCTCACTAAGCACATAAAAAATGTTCAAATTATCATGGGTATTACAGCACCCTGAAAAGGAATACTTTCCTGGGTGTTTATTTGAAGTCTCTTTTCAGAGTCCTTCAGCTTCTCACTTTCTCTCACAAAATGGATCTGGTCATGCTTAGAAATCCAGAAGCGGGCTCAGTGTCTGAATCTTACAAACAAGAACACCATCTTCAAGTGTGATAGATATATTTACATGTAGCTAGGTTTGCTAGCAGGTGGAACCTCTAGTTTTGAGGCACCAATTGATTCCCTGTGCTACTTTTTAACCTATAAAGTCTAGTGTGTAAGGACTTTAATGATGTCACTCTTCCTACCACACCAACATGCTGATATCTTGATTTCTTAGATGGAGTCTTATCTGTCTTTTGGCATCGTCCAATTTCACCCAAATGTCATCTAACAAAACCTCAAAACACTTGGAGCACAGAGCATTTTCTTTTGCCATCCTATCTACAACATTGATTAACATCAGAAGAACATTGGCCATCTGATACAGAAATGGAAGAATGGCTACATTCACAGGCAGTACCTATGTGTTGAATGTCCTATAAAGAGACCTTGATGCTTTTGCTTTGGTCACTGTCACTACAGTCATATTAAAGGGAAGGCTGTAAGAACAAAAAAGTAATTACTCCTTGTGCAGTGTATCTGTAGATCATTGTGGACAAAAGTTGGCATAAGAGCCTGTGCCCCAGAGATGATTCGGAGCTTTGTATTTAAATCTGAGAAGAGGAGACTTTAAGGGCATACTGGTTTAGCCTTGGATGTTTTGACTTGATGTTGTAGAACTTTGTCATAACTGTTATTTTAGTTACCAAAAAGGAAAGAATTTTGTTGTCTTTAAAGAGAATGAAAGTGATTTTGAAATTCCTTTGAAATAAATGAAAGTGTTCAGGATCACCTTTGAAAGAATTAGCAGAGAGCCCTCAATAAACAGCAACAATGCTGGTTGAACATAGACCTCTCTCTGGGAAGCATGAGTAAATCATAGAATTCTCCAGTCTCAGGAGACAACATCACAGGTCCATTTTTAAGGTACTGTAACTTCTGGCTTGCCTTAGTTCACCCAGGGCATATTTAATTACTGACTAATGCAGATTCTACCTGGTACTTTACTCAGAGATGTGGCTTAGTCCCTGGCTTTTCCCATTGGCCATCTTATAGGTAGCTGTTATTGAAACTATGAGAAAGCAATTTTCTGATTGCTTCCCTTATCATGAAGGTTTTTTTTTTTTATGGACTTTAGGCCTTTGTAACTAAAACCCCATGAGGCATTTATGATAGAGAATATGAGAATTTTAATAAAAGTATAATAACCCTGAAAATAGTGTCTTTAATCATCTACATACTAGTAATCATGCGTGCATTGTGCCATGCATTTATAAATATTTGGTCGTAAAAATATTTGACTGTAACAACAATATTTACAGTCAACATATAAAAATACACACAATTCTGAATGGCGATAGTTAATCCCCAGCTCGAATCACAGGTCTAGAAGGATTAGCTTGTTATGGTAAAGTGCAATGGATAATTACAGAATGGACATAGATCTTACACTCAAGTTCAACATACAAGAATGGCTATTATAGCATCGTAGGAGCTACGGGTATCACACTTCTTTCTTTCACAATACAAGATAAAACATGTACATTTATTTCTGTGGAAATGAATAGAAATCAATTGGAGGAAAGACATATCATGTGATACAAACTTCATTGAGAATAGCTCTATCATAGAGTACTGATGCATGGCCTTCAAAGAGGTTCATGGTCACTGCAAGACCCCACCAGAAAACATGTAAATATACATTCTTTCAACAGACTTCCACATGATGTAGGCTGTCTCATGGAACTTTTAGACAAATCTTGGCTGGTAATTTAGTTGAGTTCCTCACTGATGAGAGTGGAACATAAAGCAATGCTTTTGGTTTCACATTCTGATGGGGGGCACAGTCCAGTTTAAATAGGAAAAGGTGTGGGGTTCACAAGTTTTTAAAAATCTCCCATTTCAAGAGAAAAACACATTACAGTAAATAAAATACTCCACAATTATATGATTTCTCCTAGGGTTTGAATGGCCTTCTGTTTGATAGTAGATAGGTCCTAACATGAATGCCATTAATACTTCACAATAGACAAAGCAAGCAAAAACTTGAAAAACTAGAATGGAGCGCACAAATAAACAGAAAAGGCTGAACTTGGATGGTTACCTGCAACTCATGATCTCATATTTTAGTAGAGAAGTAGAGAAGGAAATCTTGGAAATGTTTTCTTCAAAGTGAAATTGGAAGGTTTGCATGATGCTTGGCAAGATTCTTCTGGGCTTACATACTTCCTAAGACCACGATAAGGCATTTTTGGAGTTCTATTAACTCTTCCAGAACATGGAGTTTCATTTCAGTAAATTATTGCTACACATCCTTAGAGAGAATCACATGTTCTGGAGAAGATAACATCTTTTCTAAAATGCCACTTCTTTAGACAGTTGGACAATGTGAAATTCCTGTTTGTCCTACAAGTCTGATCCTTGAAGACAATACCTAATACATAAACACGTCTTTCCCCATCCAAGTGCTTTGGGAGAGATGGAAATTGGTGCTTTGGCAGAATATGCAGCAGTACTTCCCTGTATTTGGCAATTTGCAAGCTCGTCAATCTTTGTGTTATTGTTGTTTATTTTTTCTATCTGAAATGGTCTATGGCAATTATAAAACTCAAGTAAATTATCTTTAAATAAAAAAAATAGCGGAAACAATGGAGTTTCACTGAATATGGGAAGATATAGAGCAACATGGAATCCTCGCCTTCTTAGTAGCTGTTTTTACAAACAGGTTCGAGAGTGGTAGAAATCTTCATAAGTGAAGAGTAACTTTGAAAGAGGAATTCTGTTCTCCAACTGCAAAAACTGCTCAGAAAATTCAACTTCAAATATGAGATCATGGGCCGGAGGTCAACTGTCCAAATATCTGTTATCTCTAGCACAGAAGTTCTTGAGATGAAAGGCTGGTGTTACGTGTCACATGACTTTACAGATACAGTGAAAACATCAAGTGTGGTAATGGGACACTATGGTCCCTCCTTAATTCTATAGCTATTGTACCCCCAGCAGGGGAGACATTGAAACACAGTGGCCTTAAGGTAGAATAGAACAAATGCCATTCAATAAACTGAAATGTTATTTAAATGATGTCCATTTAAAATTTTGCATCGTTTACAAGAGCAGTGTTATCTAGCAACATCATTTCCTAAAACTGAAACAGGAATGGAATTTTCTAAGAGTTCTAGTTGTGTTTTTCCTTTTAAATCTATTAGAACTGTTAATGCATTTAAGTTATACAATCCAAATTGGTGGGAAATATAAATGTTTTTCAGGAAAAAGAGCTTGTTAGCAGGACGTGTAATCATTGGGCATTTGTTTTATTCTACCCCCAAATAAATTGTTCCTTAGATTCCCTATTTGGCAAGGAAAAGGAATTTTCTAGTAACATTCTCCAACATGAATAGCAGCCTTAGTCCTTGAAAGTACACAGCAGACCGAGTACCTGGTATTTCATTATTTCTTTCCATCTCCCACATACACTGTGTACACTTACATATGTTTGCAAAAACAATGTGCTTAAAGTTTTCATTTTCAGGTGGGTAAGATATCCAAAAGCAGCCATGCTGGCCTTCCAAATACACAGAAATGTTAAAAGCTAATGACAAGCTATCTCAACTATTTTAGATTTTAAACATTTGTTCACATGCTAATTAACTCAAATACCTTTTGGGGTTTTGTGAAGTCATCCCAAAAATAAGATCTCAGTGACCAACAACATGATATATAGAATTTAATGGATTCAAATTTCTGTTTCGTTATCACACAGTTGATAATACTCTTGCTATCTAGTCAGTTGAGTTGATTTCAAGTGGCCATTTATATATTGTGTACCATCCCTAATGAGGTTATTTGACTCATCCCTAATGAGCTGATTTGACTTTTAGAGAAAGGCAGCTTATCTGCAAATGGACACCTTCTTTCACCCAAACACCAATGCACACAAAAGACAAATATAAGTATATGTATACTTATATGTACACACAACGTGGATTGAGTGGTCCGGTCCTTTGGTTTAGACATGTACTTCCCATGTGCATAGGTTTCCTTTGATTGACCTGTTCAAAAAGCAAACATGAAGTGACATGGCAATTTAGACATTACCTCTGTCTTTCCCCCTATCTGGAGACCACCTATTCTCTCTTCTCCATTTCTTCACAGACTGTGTTGATCTTTTAGCCTTTTATCTTAACACAGCAATCCATTCAATCCTCAGAAAAGCTCTAAGATCAATGTTTGGAAAATTATCTCTCATGGAGTACAAGGTTAAAAGGAACTTCACCGCCTTTTATTATCTCTTTCCCCGAAAGAAGTAGACCCTTGGATGCATCATGAATAACACATTCTTGATCTGACTTGCCTTGTTACCCCTGGCCAGCCCAAGCAGCTGAGGTCTGAGCCTTACTAGCCCTGCATCATTGTGCAACACTGGAAAAGAAAAAGTCTCCACCCTCAGACGGTGGTGACGTGATCAGGGTTCTCTTGGATTTCTATGCATTCAATTTCCTCTCTCTCCTTTCGTTTAGCACGTTTCTTTTTCTTGTGGTGCTTTTTGGAAGGAGGAAAAAAGGTTAGAAACACAGGTAAGATAACAAAACAGTGCAGAAGCGTGCAACCCCCGGTCAGCAGCAAGCATTTGAACAGTGTGAAGGTCAGGTTTGAAGGCACAAAGAGGAGGGGGACCAACCCAATAAGAAAAGAAGTAATGTTCTGCAAAATGGCTGTCCCATGCTCTTGCAGGGAGCTTTTTATACATTGTGTTCTGGTGTGCTCGGTTGCTAATACAAATGTGTAAAGCAGTGGTGCACAGTGGTCAATGGCAAAATTTAAAGTGTAGATAAGGCACAAGATAGAAATGCAATCCATGTCGACATTCCACAATGTCATTAAGCCCAGAACGCCCAGCTCAATTGAGGTGACGCTAAGAATTAGCCAGAAGTTTCCCAGAGGATGGATCACTAGGAAGAAAGTCAGGATTAACACCAGGAGGACTCCAAAGCCTGAAATCAGAACAGGCACAGTGACTGACAAACTGTAATGGTCTGTGAAAACAAAGGAAGGGTTAAACACGATGAACCGGATACTCTTTGAGAGAGACAGGGGCCTCAACTTGTCCAGAACTTCTATGACTTCCTTCTGCTTGTCCCTGCTAGTCCTGGCCACCAGATATAAGCGAGAAGCGATGATATTGTTTTCATCCCCAGCTCTGGAGAAAATGATATCATTCCGAAAGTGTTGGAATTCTGGCTTTTTTAAAAATGAGCTTTGTAGGACACTGATGAAGTCGGTCTTGTTATTGGCACTGATGTTGCTCGCTTTCAGAAACTGATAATACTGTTCTACCCAGGACACTGCAGTGAATCCACTACAGAGCCTCTGCAGATCCTCTTGAACACTGCTGTTCCAGTACTCCAGGGGTTCATAGACGTAGAATCCTATTACAGGGCTGTAGTTGCTGAAATATTTTTGCTGAACCATGGCATAGGAAACACTTGGGGAGTCACTGGCTAGTAGGTTGATGATGCTGGCTCCATCACTGATCTGCAAGCACCCCATAAAGGAGAAAGAGGCATAAATGAGATACAGGATGACCACAAATGGCTTCACATAGATATTGGTAATCCACTCATTGTAATGTTCTCGGAGGAAGTGCTGAATGAAATGATGCTGGTAGGGGTTTGTCTCATGATGGGATGTCTGTTGGTGACCATCACTCATTACTGTCTGGAACCACACAGGCTTGCGGTCCAGGTATTCTGCAGAAGGGATCTTACAGCAAAAGATGCTGTGATATCGATTTTGCTCAAGTTGTCCAGCAAAGACCAGGCAAGAGCCAAAGAAAGAGAAAATGTAGAAGTAGTTCAAAAGAATAGAGACACACATATTCTGACAGAAGATCTTCACTGCCTCTATGTTTGTGAAGGGGCTGGCACCCATACCAAATGTGATGAAGTACAGGGAACTGGTCATGGTGTAGGTGACCATCACATCAGAATAGGCATCTGCTACTCTGTCTTTGAAGGGCAAATTCTCTTTGGTTCTCCGCCATCCAGACAGAAGCTCAAATACTCCTTTAGTTCCATGACCTAATGTTAAGAGAAAGAAAAAGAACAGTTACTTTTATTTCCTTCTATGATTCAAGTGGACTTCATATAGATTATTGATACTAAATATACATATTCTACTCTTCAGAGTAGTGTGTTTCTCTTATTAGCAACTCAGAGGAAATAAATATTTGGTCCCTGTTTACATTCGAGAAAAGGCTGGATTTATTGATACTGTATGTGAAATTAAATACTTATTAGTTATTTTTTTTACCTGAAAAGTAGTAAACATAATGCAGTATCCACATTTCTCCCTGCATGCACAGTCTTCCTAAATTAACCATAAGCAGTCCAGAACAGAAGCTGTCACCTACATCTTAAGTAGCAATGCCCATGTGTGGCTAACTAATCCACAGTCCTTTTAAATGAATTCATGTGTTGATTTATAGAATTACAGGATGATATTAAATAGTTGATGATTGTTACATAGTTGTGATAACACAGTCATCACCAATTCATAAGGTTTCTTTAGGTCATTTTTCTCTTTGTTGTGGGTGCATGGGTGGGTGCAGGTACATGTGCGAGCTTAAGGATGACGTCAGGGATCCTCTTTCATAGTTCTTTTAACCTTATTCTTTTGAGGCAGAATGTCTTAATCAAACCCAGAGGACACCAGTGAGGCAAGTCTTGCTAGCCAGTCTATCCTAGAGATCCCCTCTCTACCTTCTACTGCTAGATCATAGGTGTGCTGCTATGCCCACCTGGCACTTAAGAAGGTTCTGAGGATCTTCTTGCTTGAGCATCAGGCACTTTACCCACTGAGCCATCTTCTGAGACCCCTCTTAAGAATTCAAATGTAAATTAAAAAATTAAGTGTGTTCATGTGTGTGTGTGGTGAACAGAGGCATTGTATGCCCTGGAGCTGGAGTTACAAGTGGTTGTGAGCCACAACATGTGGGTCCTTGGAACTAAACTTGAGTCTTCTGCAAGAGCATTATGTTCTTTTAACTACAGAGCCATCTTTCCAGCCCCAGGAGTTTTATTAGTAGACACTGGATGCAAGTGAAAAACACTTTCCTAGGTCACATAAAAGACCTCCAGGCCTAGAGATCACCTAGAGATCATGCAAATACTTCTTGGCTCCTTAGAAGCTTTTGTTTCCATGGTAACTGAACAAAAACCTTTGTTTCATGTATGTGGACGAAGAATTCTTTTCTCTAACAAAATTTTGTGCACCCTTTTAATATATATATTGTATATAAGGCTAAATAGGCAAAGGGCTTAGTCAACAAATATTTCTTGAAAATAAGGTATGTGCTCTCAGCTCTGTTTGGTCATTTTCAAGAAACTGATAGGTTTTAAGAAAGAATCACTTCCTTACTGGCAAAAGAAGAAAGCAAAGATACTAGACTATATTTATAACTTTCCCCTTTTCATCCACTTCCTTGAATTTGATCTGTCAATCATCACAGAGAATATATGAACTATTCACTTTGTGAGTGGGTAGAAATCTTCATAAATTAGGTTTTTCTTGTTGTAGGCATAGAAATCCCAAACATGAACTGTTCTTATAAGCAGATACAAGCTGTGTTTGGGTTGTTCTCTAAGAAATGCATTAGACAACAATCATATTTAAGGATAGAGAATGACCTAGTTCACAAAAATCTGGACAAGGGACTTTGTATGTTATCTAGATACTGGAGTTAATTAAGAGCTCCATACACTATTCAGCTCATAGTGCTTTAATGAAGACATTGCAATTGCTGTAGTCTCTTCTAAGTGCTCTGGGTTTGTATTGATGGTCAATTTTGTGACTTGATCCCAAGCATTCATTTCCTTCCTTCTTTTTATTTGAGACTTATTTTTCAACTAGGGTGTTTTTATTTTATGGCACAGAGCCAGAAAGTTGAGTGTAACTGGAAATCAGCCAAGGGGACAATTGGAAAATCAAAAGGTGTTTTATTCTGAACAGCCTTATGGGTTCATGTGGAAGAGCCGTAGGTTACCTCCTAAAGACATGTGTGAGTTTGTTAGATGTAGTTTGACTCTCCCCAAAACAGTAGTGCTTTGTGGCAGACTGAGGATGTACAGCTTTTAAAATGGCAAGCTAATGAGTCATGTTTCATGAATTTATTTAATGATTAGTGTGTATAATGTAAGTAGATATGATGTTAATCTTTGATGTTTCAAAGCACGTTGGCTCTCTTTGGGGAACTGTTATTAATTATTGGCTACTACTAAAAGAAATTAAGCAACAGAGTTCTTACCTCAAATATAAAGCCTTTGGTGTCTTTTCTGAGTCTCCTGTCAGGAAAGATGTTACCCTAACAAGTAGAAAGGGTTATGAAAACTGCAGATGCGTAAAAGGCAGGCTTAAAAATATTTTTTGAGGCAATTATCTATTACTTCACACATATAATTATAAGCTGAACACTGGTGTTATTGAAAAAAACGTAATGAAACAAACAACAATGATTGTTCATTCATGTCTTCTGTAAGATTCATTGACCAAGAGGAAGTCTTTCTTACTCTCTTGACAATATAATCTATTATGATAGTGGTTAGGGTCATTGAAATAAGACTTTAATTAGAGCACCTCTCTTTGGAAATGAGGACATTAGTTTTCTCTGTAGTCACTAGGGAGGGAAAAGCCACAGAGTGCTGAGGCTAAATTTGGCTTGCCTTTGCTAATGGTCATTTTAATGGAGCATTAGGTATCCTATGTAGGACAGGGTTTATGCTTTATGTAGTACAAAAGCCTCTATGTGTGGCACAATGCTGATGGTTCTGTTAGCTTTATGTATTCATTTTAAATGTATTAGAGCATGAAAATATAATCTCTGGACATAGCATGGTTTATTTAATTCATAGGTATTGTGTAGGTATTTTACAGGGGTGTTTATATGAAACTCACTCTTCTGATTCTTACACAATTTGGTCATTTCTTAGCAGCTCAAATTAATTGGCTGCCCCAGCAACAGTTGCTTATTCATGGGTTCACAAATACGGCCATGAGCAATCTCTTCTCAGGTTTGGCCATCCTCTTTTCTGCATCTCTCATTGCTTCCTGTGTTCATTAGTCTGTTCAAGGTCAGCTCAGTCCTCTTTTTCTCAAAGCCATATCTGAAGGTCACAGTTATACTGACACTTGTCTGTTTCCTAAAATCTTATCTGACTAATTATCCTCTTATTTAAGTCCCTACCCACAAACCAATTTGCTATGGACCAAAAATTTCTCTTGGTAAGTTCTATTCTGGTGATTGTGCATATTATTGAAAGTTAGGGGATGAATTGTATGTTACTTTGATTCAGAAAAGATTATTATTTTTATACAGAATATATTTGATCATTAAAGATATCTAGAGCATACCCATTAACATCTTTTATTTTTGAGACAGGGTCTTATGTAGCAAATGCTGGCTACAACTCTCTATATGGCCAAGGATGACCTTGAACTCTCAGATTCCTGTTATCACTTCTATAGTGCTGTAACTTGCCTCATGAATCACTATTTAGTGCTGGGAATCAAACCCAGTGCCTCATTAGTGTTAGACAGGAACTACCCACTGAGTTATAACTCCAGCCCATTTAACTCTTACCAAATGAATAAACTGAATTCTTGACTATAGATAAGCCCTCAAACATATTTTTATTATACATTCTAAAAAGTAATGTATATTATCATACTGGTATAAATTCTATCCAGAAGAAATGCAAACTGTTTAATGCTCTACAATCTGATATACATCTACCTGGGGCTTTTAAATAAGCCAACACATATGATATAAAGGCGAACAACAAACAATCTTTCTCAAAATGTAAGTTGGCTAAGGCCATTTTGACCTACATGATGCTCAGAGGGCCATCACAACTTTTAAATACCTGTTTTCAAAGTAGGAAACTAAGCCAGGTGGTGGTGGCGCACGCCTTTAATCCCAGCACTTGGGAGGCAGAGGCAGGCGGATTTCTGAGTTTGAGGCCAGCCTGGTCTACAGAGTGGGTTCCAGGACAGCCAGGGCTACACAGAGAAACCCTGTCTCGAAAAACCAAAAAAAAAAAAAAAGTAGGAAACTATATATACAAAGAAATAGTGTCACTATGATGAAACCATTAGTATTTCTGTAAAAAACAAAGATGCAGGAACAAAATCAAGAAGATAATAGTTTAAAGTGATATGGGGGTAGATATTACTCCTAGTGTAAATCCTTGAGAAAATATAATATATGGAAACAGCCTGAATACACTGGGTCTTTGGAGAAATGCACACACATGTGTATGTATATGTATGTATGTGTTTGTGTGTGTGTGTATTTTGTAGAATGTGTTATCATAAAAGTATGTGTGTGCATGTGCATGTGTGTATTACCCTTATGACAACTCAAGAACCCATCCAGTTTTTATGTTTAAAATAAACTGTTTAAACCAACAGGCAGCTGCATACATGAACTCACAGAAGATGTGACAGCATGCACAAGACCTGTGCAAGCCCAAGCTGGACCAAATCCTAGAATGTAGAGGAGAGCTGGACATCCATGTCTGTTCCTAGCTGAGGAGATATTGGCAATTGTTTTCTGCTAAGACAGTGTCAGTTTCCCTAAGAGTCCTTGGTGAGTTGACTGTGCTCCAAAGGAAGACCACACACTCAATAATATTTGGGTAGTGCACATAGGCTTTGATGGTGGAAAAAGGACACACAGCAGAGTGAGAAGAGAAGTGGATATGAATCTTGGAAGAGGTGGGGGACTGAGAGGAAATATGACCAAAACACACTGTATTAAATTTTCATTGAGGTATTAAATAATGTAAGTAGAACTTATTACAAGGAGACATGAGTACTTTGTAAAGATTTTGTTTGTTTAATGTCAGGATTTACTGGTTCTAAAACTATTAACACTTCTGTCTGAGTAATACTTTGTTTTGGAGACTGTCATAAACATTGTAGGAAGTCTAGTTTTATTCCTTTACCCAACGGTTCTCAATAGTATAGCCAGAGTCATGGTAATAATTTCTCCAGACATTAATAAATATGCTTTCGGAACAAA